ATAGAAACCTGGGGTAAGGCAACCATCCCTGCCCACAGCAGTGTAATAGGAAGTTAGGCACACATATTGGCAAGGAATTAGAGAGTCCATTGTGGGTCTTCCACTCTACACTTCCAAATAAGCATTTGAAGGCCCTGGTCTCTGGTACAGTCTCAAAGCTTTCCTCCTACTTTGCACTGCCACATGGTTCCCAGGTAGGGGGTGATCTCACCCCATCAGAGGTAGGCTGCAAATACTTTCTAAAGAGTGCTAAATTTCAGGTATTCTGTGACTTACAGGTAACTATGTAAGCAGACATCAAAACATATTTGGGAACAGGCATACTTCCCATGCTACCAAGGCCGAAATACTGAACACAACATGTGGTAATATAAAAGCAATTCAACAAGAACATTCAAATGCTATAGATTACCAGTAGTGTAAATAACCATCTAATTTTATTTCATTGATTTTTATTTCCAATGCAAATAATTGGGCTGCTTTTTGAACAAGTTCTTTATGCAATTCACAATTGCCAGGCCTGAGCTATATATGGTGAGAAGCAATTTTCACCCTTTAATGAGCTGATCACAACAATAAAATGGGAGGACACCTAATATGTACAGAATAAATTTTAGGGGTCCATAATTCATTTTAGCTATGGACTATGAACCAAATTAACTATGGACAGTGTAAGAGCATGAAACTATAGGCAAAAGCCCCATATCTATTGAGGTATATGGGAATATTGCCATCAATTTAAACTGGCCAGGTTTTCATCCTTTGATTCTGTGAGATATTTAAATCTAAAAACAGCCTTTCTGGATGAACATGTTGAGATGCCTATGCCAGTGAATCCCTCTCAACTCAGAATTCAAACTTTGAAGAGAAGTGTTAATTTAAAATAAAATGATAGAGCAAGCCAAAATACTGACGATTAAGACAATAACTTTTCATGGGAAAGGATTCATTTAAACAAAGTTGGACACACCCCAGCACAGCCTGCCCGGCTGCTTCTATCACAGCGGCTGCATGCCGCGCGCCTGCGCTGCCACACGCAGCGGGGAAGCCCCGCTCTGGACTCCATGGGGAAGCAGGGGGCAAGGCTCACTCCACTGCTGGCAGACTGTGGGGACCTGCACAGCAGGAAGCAGGGGAAACGGCAGGCTTCAGTGCAGGGCTTCCCCCGCTGTGAATGCTGGAGCTGAAGGCACACGGTGTAGAGCCCCCACGACAGGGCAAGCTCTGCTCTCTCCTCCTGTGCAGCGCTGGCCAGAGCCACGCCTGTGCCAGGCATGAATGCCTTGACCTCTCCGGCTGCTGCTGCTGCCAGCAGCTGGGGCTGCACGCCAAGGGGGAAGTGTGTGCAGGGTCCATACAGCCCCCCCAACATCACATCTACACCTTGCCTAGCTGAGCTCTGTGCTCCCACTCCCCTTCTGGGTGCAGGCTCCATTCTGTACTCCCGCTTCCATCCAGCTGCAACTCCACCACCCCCACCCGCCCTGCCACTTCCCTACCTGCTGGCCCAAAGCAAGCAGGTTCTAGCTGCAGCTGGAGCCCCACCCAGAAGTTGCTGGCTGGTCAGAGCCCTCCTACCCAAAAGGATGGGAGTGAGGCCCAATAGGGTATGTTGGGGGGTTGTACAGGTGGGTGCCTCACTCCCACCCTCATGGGCGGAAGGGCTAGGCAGGGTACTATTCGTTGAGGGGGGGGTGGGTTCTGTGGGCCAGATGAAAGTGCCTGGCAGGCCAGATCTGGCCCGTGGGCCATATTTTGCCATGCCTGAACTAGATTATGGTGAAAGTCAAGAAACAAGCCATCTCATTCTCACATAGATCTGCTGGCTTTTGAGAATTAAACGGAGTATGTTTTTACACTGGACAAGTGGACTATGACTGAATGTGCACAGGAATCAGATTTTTTCCATCTGAAAGTGCTGTTTTCACAGTCACTTTTCTGAACACACATTCTTAAATGGTTAGAACACCACTTATGTTTTATTCCTATACACCCTTATAACAAAGGAACAGACTTTCATTTTTAGAAGTCTGTTTGTTTAATACTGGAATGTTAAGACCTAATCCTATTCCCACTGAAGTCAGGTTCTTACCGACTTCAATATTATAATCACACTCTTTTACTAGGCAGTGCGTCCCAATCATAAAAAAAGTGAATTTGATGCCAAGAACAGGGTTATTTAATATCAAAGTTGAACTCTAGACAAAACTGGAGCTCTAAATTGTCTAACAAGGTCATCCTGTCCAGTTCAAGCAATGCTCAGCCAGGCTCAATGGGTCAGTATCTTAAAAGCAGAATGAAAAAACCGTCATTTCTAGACAAATTACAAATTTAAGGAAGCAAGTCATCAAGACTTAGGTTTTAAATGATCTACATACTACTCATCAAAGCAAGGCTTGGGGGCTTAATTTTTAGAGGTATTTTGACAACTAAAAATAAACAGTTGGATTCCGAGACAGATTTTGAAAATCCCAGAAGTTTGCATATCTTTAGGCACCCAAATATCTTTAAATATCAGGCCCTTAGGTCATACTATACTAAGCTACTCCTAAACCCTTTTAAAAATTCAAAAGCTAAAGCATTCTGCTGCCTACCTCCAAAATAAAGTCTAAGATATATAGCAATAGCATAGGCTTATCATAGAATCATAGAAAAATAGGGACCTCAGGAGGTCATCTTGTCCAACCTCTTGCTCAAAGCAGGACCTTCCCCCACTATCTCCCCCCAGCCAAGCCTTTGTCTACCCAGGTCTTAAAAACCTCCAAAGATGGAGATTACACCACCTCTCTGGGTAACCTGTTCCAGTCTTTACTATCCTCCTAGTGAGAAGGTTTTTCCTGCTATCTCCCCTAAACTTCCCTTGCTGCAGCTTGAGACCACTGCTCCTTGTTCTGTCATCTGCCACCACTGAGAACAATCTAGCTCCATCCTGTTTTGAACCCCACTTCAGGTAGTTGAAGGCTGCTATTAAATCCCCCCCTCAGTCTTTTCTTCTCCAGACTACATAAGCCCAGTTCCCTCAGCCTTTCCTCAGAAGTCATGTGCCCCAGCCCTCCAACCATTTTTGATTGTCCTCTGCTGAATTCTCTCCAATCTGTCTACATCCTTTCTGTAGTGAGGTGCCCAAAAAACTGGACACAGTACTCCAGATCTGGCCTCACCAGCACCAAATAGAGGGGGATAATCACTTCCCTCAATCTGCTGGCAATGCTCTTACTAATGCAGCCCAGTATGCCATTAACCTTCTTGGCAACAAGGGAACACTGTTGACTCATATTCAACTTATTGTCCACCATAACTCCCAGGTCCTCTTCTGCAGAGCAGCTGCTTAGCCAGGCAGTCTCCAGCCTGTACCAGTGCATGAGATTGTTCTGTCCTAAGTGCACAGCTTTGCATTTGTCCTTATTGAACCTCATGAGATTTCTTTTGGTCTGGTCCTCCAATTTTCCTAGGTTTCTCCAAACTCTAGCCCTACTCTCCAACATATCTATTACTCCCCCAGCTTGGTGTCATCTGCAAACTTGCTGAGGGTGCACTCTATTCCATCTTCCAGAACATCGATGAATTTATTGAACAAAACCAGCCCCAAGACCAGGGGCAGGCAATTATTTTGGGTAGAGGGCCCCTTACCCAGTTTTTGCAAGCTGTCAAGGGCCGCGTGGGTAGCCCTGCCCCTTGACAGGTGCCCTGCCCCTGGTCACCATCTTGGGACCAATGTCCTGGGGCCAGCACTGGTGTGACCCAGAGCAGGGCGCAGGCTTGCAGCGGTCTGTGGAGCTGGGTTGGGCTGCACCAGAGCAGGGAGAGCGGGGAGCTGGCCCAGCTCCATAGAGGTCCTGCCAGCCGGGACTCTGTTCTCCTGCCACCCTGCTCTGGGCCCCGCTGGAGCTGGCCCTGGGACACCAGTGCAGGCCCTGTGCTCCTGCACCCGCTCACAACCACTGCCCCCCCAGCCCCACAGTACAGCCGAAGGGCAGCGCACAGCCGGGTGTCTCCTGGCGCCAGCCACGTGCAGCCCATGTGGGGTTGTCCTGAGCAGGCACAGGCAGCCCATGCAGGCTGCAAGCAGCTGCAGCAGGGAGCGCAGACCACGGGGCAGGGGAGGGGCCACTTTTCCCCGTGCTCTGCACCAGATCCTTCCCTGCCCTTCCCCCCACCCTTACCTGAGGATCTCATGCTGGGACAGCCACATGGTTCCAGGCCAGAAGCCCCTGCTCTTGCGGGAGCCCGCCAGGCTTCCCCTGGCTCCTACTACCCCTGGTTACTGTCATGTTTTACAGGAACCAAGGACAGATAAATTTTAAGTTTTCAAAAAATTTTAGGGGCCCCACAGTCCAGATAGAATGGCCTCAAGGGCCAGATCCAGCCTGCGGGCCATATTTTGCCCACCCCTGCCCAAACCAAAGCCCTGGGACACTCCATTAGATACTGGCTGCCAACTAGACATTGAGCCATTGATCACAACCCTTTGAACCTAACTAATCCAGCCAGTTTTCTATCCACCTTATAGTCTGTTCATCCAACCCATTCTTTGGGCTCAAATATTAGAATGCTTTATTTACAGCCAGAGATGGTTCCTATGCCAAAAAAAAAAAAAAAAAAAAAAAAAAACCCAAAAAATCTACAACACTTCTTGATCCTTACTTGTTTCTGTTTCCACTTATCAGAAATAATGGGACCAAATGAAGTCTTGCCATTCATTCAGCTTTTACAATCTAGTTTTTACCAAGTGTTCAACCACAACTCCTTGGTTTGCACATATAGTATCTGGAATTCCAAAATGACATCATCCAAGTACTAGGTAGCTCCTAGATGTCTTAGCTCTTGACTGGCCCTGCAATAAGTCTAGCGTGACCATTCCACTTTTGTTGATATGCTTTATAAAAAGTTAATTCAAGAGAAGACCCAGCCCCCTTCAATTAGTCCAAGTTAATTCAAGAGAAGACCCAGCCCCCTTCAATTAGTCCCCAGTTCATTTAATACATCAGAAGACAACATACCTAAAACACTGACAAAAACATCAAAAAGATGAAATGTGAGAAGAGGCTCCTTCATTTGGCCATAGTAGTCTGCTATGGTTTTGAAAACATCCCTTTCAAATCCTGTGTATGTAGGCTGCTTCAAGTCTGAGCAAGTGGGCCCTCCAAAAGAGAAAATGCATTTTTAACCACAAATAAGATCATTCATTTTTGTTTACAGTCAATAAAAAATGGGGAGGACATGGGAAGTTTAGATCACTTTGTAACAAAAGGCAAACCAGAAGTTAAGTCACATGGGGCGTTTATACACGTGCTCCGGGTGTGGGGTTGGGGGATGCTTTAATTAGAGTGGCTCATAGAGCCGCTGTAATTAAAAAACTGCCCAGAGCCTCTCATGTATCAGCATCCCCATGCCTAAAAATGGTGGCAGGGGTGCTTTATCTAAAGCTCAAACAAGCATTAGTTAAAGCACCCCTGACACCATTTTTAAGCTTGGAGACATCGATACATAAGACACTGGAGTCTGCGAGAGCATAATAATTACCACACTCCAGCAGACTTGATTAACCAAGTCTGTTCGGATGTGCTGTAATTACGGTGCACAGGAGCAGCCTCACTGCTCATGTACAGGCACCCATTGTTCTGACAATCATTTTTGCCTGTCCTTTCCACACCTCACCTGAATTCTGAAGACTGTAATGGATGCTCATTTAGCTGTAAACACTAAGGGTAGCATTTAAATGGCAGGTTTCTAGCTAAGTGGCGTCTTTGGTACTTAAGCATAGATAGTGATTCTGCTTCTCCTAAATTGTGGAGATGTAAGTGTGCACAAGCAGACTGAGAATGCATAGGTAGCTACACACTGGCCAGCTATACATGCAGCTATATGTGTAGACTCCTTCTACCCAAACAGGCACTCATCTAGGAAACCAGAGATGCAGGTTCTAGGCCCCCTTTGCCCAGATAGGATTTGAACATGCATCTTTCTAACTTTCCAGCTCACTATTTTAAGCCACGGTACCACAGATCAGGTATTGTGCAGACCCCTCTCCAGTGCTCCTTTTGAAGCTGGCTTTCTGGGCCACAAAAAGAGAGAGGTATGTAAAGCAAGGAGAAAGGGAACCAGCTAGAGAGCAAGTGATTCAGTAAAGTACTTGGTACTCTAGAAGGAAACAGGTCCTGGGTTCTAGCCTGGACCCTTGTTTCCACAGGGCAGAAACTCCTCTGTGCACTTCCCACTGCTCTGCTTGCTCCCTATCCATTTTATCTAATGATTGTTAAGTGAAGGGAGCAATGGCTAGCTTCAAAAGGAGTAGCAGAATGTGCTGAATATATGCTTAGCTTAGGAGACAGGCAAGCATTATTCCTCCCATTCTATAAGGTGACTACACATTTACATAAAGTCATTTTTGTAAGACCTGGAGGCTAGAAACCTGTCTTTTAAGACAGGCCCAAGATTCAGTTCTTTACAAAAAGTATAAAATTCATCTCATACAGAAGACACATTTCTCAAGAGCTGGTCTGAGACAGTATAATAAACTCCCTCAGACACTAAGGACAACTATCAACCTGATTGTCCTTAGCACCTTCTGCTTCAACTGCAAGTAATTTCATTTTCTTTATGTAAAACACAGAAAAAGAAAGAAACAGGAAAAGCAAAAGGGGGAAAGGGGATAAAAGAAAAGGAAAGAAAAATAGAAAATAAAATAAAGAAATTACCTAAAACCCTAACAAACCAATATATTCTGCTGTATATATGCTTCTCTTCCTGGAAACAGGATAAGAGAGCAAACATATGGGAACTGTTACTTAATATATCACCAGAAGACCGTCCAACAGGGCGATGAGCAATGCAGTACCTGAACCTATACAGAAGAGAATCCGTTTAGTCACACTGCCTCTTGCAATGAAAGCATTTAATTAGGGGACTGGCTATACTATCTATAACCCTTTATATTACAAACTGCTACTTTAATCCACTTGAGGATCGGCCATGCATATGTAACAGGATTGCCAACTGTCAGTAAACTCAGTAAAAACCTTCAGCCATCAGCAAAAACAATGATCAGCAGCAGTTTGAATGAAGCTCTTTAGAGCATGGCAGCACCATCTGGTGTCCACGGAGATCAGCACCCTGCACCTTAGCCATGTGCTTCTGTTGAGGTGTCCCTGGCTGCCTATAATATTGCTAACTTCCAGGTAGGCTTCTTTGGGAGTCCATGCCAAGATGGAAGGAGCGGAAACAGTGTGGGTTACAAATGGGTTGTCTCCCCCTGGGGCTTCTGCAGCCCAGTGGGTGGGACCTGGCACGGCAGGACAGAGTGGGGCTAGGCGGGGAAGTTCCTTGCTGCTGCTGCAAGCCCCACACCACTTTGGCAAGGCGCCCTGCATGGGTTACATATGCATGGCTAATCCTCAAGTGGATTAAAGTAGCAGTTTGTAATATAAAGGGTTATGGACAGCATAGCCAGTCCCCTAATTAAATGCTTTCATTGCAAGAGGCATCACGATGCAGGGTGCAATCAGGGGTATCAGGATGGGGCGGGGGGGTGGAGGGGAAGGGTCTGGCTCCCCGCTACTGCACACACTCATGGGGGAGCTTGTGCCCACCAGATTTCTACATGGGGCAAGGGGTGGGTGCAAACTGCCTGCTGCAGACTCCCCTCCCTGCTCGTCTCCCCCTGGGGCTTCTGCAGCTCTGTGGGTGGGACTGGGCATGGCAGGACAGAGTGGGGCTAGGCAGGGAAGTTCCTTGCTGCTGCTGCGAGCCCCACACCACTTTGGCGAGGCGCCCTGCGTCTACTCGGCAGTAGCAGGGACAACGGCGCAGTGCTGTGCCCCTCACTGTTGCTGGGCAGGCAGGGGGCACCTTGCCAGGGCAGCACGGGGCTCGCAGCAGCGGCAAGGACCTTCCTCACCCAGCCTCGCTCTGTCCTGATGCACCAGGTTCTGTCCGCTGGGCTGCGGAGGCCTCACGGGGAGGGCAGCAAGGCAGGAGCCCACAGCTCTGCACACAAATCTGGGAGGCACATGCCCCATGCCCCCCTGGGAGTGCAAGCAGCGGTGGGGAGCCAGCCCCACACCCACACCTCAGCCCACAGAGGGCAGCCTGCCCCTGCCCCTCCTTGGGCTCCACTCTGGCCATGCCACCTGTGGGGGAAGGGAAGCTGGGCTCTATGTTCCATCCACTGCAGCAGCAACTGCCTCGTGTGGGCAGCTGAGGTTCAGGCACTGTGGACTCAGGTCCATGGCGCCATAGCCCTGGCAGCTCAGGGCCCCTTCTGGCAGGCCTGGGGGAAGGGGGTGAGGGGCACCAGCAGGGCCCAGGGGCCTGGACCTGCATCCTGGTGAGCTAAGAGGGCACAGAGAGCTCTGATTTTCCATGACAGAAGACCCAAGGTCAAATACTAAAATGTTCAGATATTTAGAATTTATTCTAGTATATTGATTGAGGCACTCATAGGCTTTCAAATTGCTTTAAAACTGTAAGTATATCAATAAAACATTGTGCTCAATTGATATAGATGGGGAGATATATAGTTTCATAGTTGGTAGGGTCGGAAGGGACCTGAGATCATCATCTAGTCCGACACCCTGCCGTGGCAGGAAAGAGTACTGGGGTCAAACAACCCCAGGAAGATGTTCGTCCAGCCTTCTTTTAAAGACCCCCAGGGTAGGAGCCAGCACCACTTCTTTTGGAAGTTGGTTCCAGGTCCTAGCCGCCCTGACAGTGAAATAGCGCTGCCTAATGGCTAGCCTGAAACTATCCTCCGCTAGCTTGTGTCCAATGTTTCTTGTAACTCCCGGGATTGTTCGGGGAAACAGGGACTCTCCCAATGGCTGCTGATCCCCCTTGACTAGTTTGTAGACTGCCACTAGATCCCCTCTCAGCCTTCTCTTTTCAAGGCTGAACAAGTTCAGGTCCCTCAGCCTCTCCTCAAAAGGGCCTGCCCTGCTGACCCCTGATCATGCAGGTGGCCCTCCTTTGGACCCTCTCCATATTGGCCACATCCCTCCTGAAGTGCAGCGCTCAGAACTGGATGCAGTACTCCAGCTGCGGCCTGACCAGTGTCGCATAGAGGGGGGAGGATCACCTCCTTGGACCTGCTTGAGATGCATCTGTGGATGCACAACAAAGTATGATTAGCCTTCCTGACCGCGTCCCCACACCGTCGGCCCATGTTCATTGTGGCATCAATGATGACTCCAAGATCTTTTTCTGTCTCTTGTATACATCTATATCAATGGAACACAATGTTTTATTGATATACTTACAGTTTAAATATATATACAGTGTTCATTTTAATCACGGATTTTATCAGAGAAAACCAAGATCCCCAATGACCACCCATTTCAACACATGCAACAATCATTATGTACAATTTTAGCCTTTAAGCTATGTGTCTCTATACACTCATCACTGGACCATCTGACAACGACTTGTTCAGAACTTTCATTTGTGACATTTCTACTCAAAATAACTTTGCATGCTCAAAGGAAATAGATTACTTTGGCAATTGGATACACCTTCTCTTCAATCTGTTTTCTTGTACATGCATCAGGGGACATATTTTGACCCCTTAAATAAGAGAAATCTGGCAAAGTAAGAAAAAAGGAATGAGTTCAATTGGGTTTTAACAGATTTGGTAGGTATACTTACAATTTGCTAGACATTTCATTGCTGACAGGACCCAATGAGGTAGTTCTTCTGCTCAGAGGGGAAGAAGTGATGGGGGAAATTTAAAAATTTAAACAGTTAAAAAACTAGCAATCTGACAAGATACAAGAGAGACATAATATGTATTTACTTCTAAGTGGTGGATAACAATTTCTCTAACAGCTGTAAAACAGACGGAGTAATTGGTTCTTTAGAAAACTACTACAAATCAAGATTCATCAAGTACTACATCCCAACTGCCTATTTCACGTACACCTCAGATCTTGGGGGTAGGGGGGAAGGACCACACACAAATGTAATAATAGTAATATGGGACAATGACAAGGATAATTACATTTGAACTCGGACTTTGCACTCTAATTTTTTCACAATTTTCTTTTTTTCAATGACGAACCTTTTGCTCAACCCTTACATTTTAAAATTACTGACTTAAAAAGCTTTATTTGTATATATTAAAGATAGATACACTCTTTTGATGCTTTTGCAACACTGTGATGATTTCAACTCAAGCATTCCCCAGCCTAGATACAGTAAGGGACTGGTCTGACAGTAGGTAAAGACATGAATTCCCACATAGCTCAAGTTAGTTGAAAGAAAAATGCAAGTTATTCCCCTCTTTCCCAGAACACAAATTTGATAGGAAACCTGCTTCCTTTATTTTCCGCCCTCACCTTTCATACTCCTTAGGTTTGAACACTTTGATTATGAAAAGATAAGTTCATTCCAAAGGGACATTTCACAGGTAAGTAGAGTTAGTTCTACTGCACACTGAGACAATTAAAGCCTAGTATAATTCTATCCACACAAATAAAGGTGTTTTATATCAGCAAAACCCAATTTGTTCTTCAAATCAGAACCTATACTCAGGTTCTTTTCATACTTGGCATAACTTTGTTTATTTTAGGGATGGGGTTATCACTTTAAGTATACTGTAATAGTTAAAACAGTACTTCCCAAACTGTGGTACATGATGCAGATGACCTGGGAGTGGTACATGGAAGACCAGTGGGAGGGGCCGCGCGCGCACACACAGCTCAGCTGCAGCCTGCTGCACACTGCCAACCCAACAGGTAAGTGTGTTGGGGGGGAAAAGGAGAGAAATTGAGACCCCCCACTGTGAGGGAGGAGTAAGGCAGGGGCAGGGAAGGGGAGAATCAGGCCCTGGGGCAGGGGTGGGACGGTCAGAGCCCAGGTGGCACGTCTCCCTCCAGATCTGTGCACGGGGTGGAGACGGGCTGCCCACTGGGCTCTGCACCCCACTACTGCTGCCTCAGGAGTCTCATGCAATGCCATGTGCCTTCCACGCGCTGGCTGCACTGTGTCCCCTGCCCACCTGGCGGCAGAAAGCACATGGCGTCCTGCGCAGTTCCTGACGCAGTAACATCAGGCTCTGGAGCTGCGTGGGACGCCATGTGCCTTCTGCCACTGGGCGGGCAGGGGACACAGTACAGCCAGCACACAGAAGGCACATGGCATACCACACAACTCTGGAGGCAACGTCAGCAAGGAGCAGAGCCCAGCACACAGCAGGGAGTCCACTGCTCCCCGCGGTTTCTCTCTCCTCACGCTAGCCTACCCCATCCCTATGGCAGAGCCGGCACAAAAGGACACAGCCCCTCCCAGGGTAGCCTGGGCCTTTCCAGGCGCACGGAGGGGCTCCCACTGCTGTACGAGCCTTGGGGCAGGCATGGGGGGGCATGTGCTCCACAAATCTGTGTGCTGGATGGAGGTGAGCTCCCACTGCGTGCTGGGCTCTGCAACTCACTACTGCTGCCTCCAGAACTGCGCAGGATGCCATGTGCCCTCCAACACCAGGCAGGCAGGGGACAAAATGCAGCCAGTGCACAGAAGGCGTATGGTGTCCCGCAAAGCTCCGGAGGCAGTGGTAGCAAGGCACAGAGCCCAGCGCACAGTGGGCAGTCCACTTCTCGCACCCCTGGACGAGCTTCCCATGGCTCTGTCCCACAACCCACCCTGGCCTGCCCGTCCTACTCCCTCCCTCACTGTGTGGACCTTGATCTGCCCCTCTCCCTCCACCCCACTTCCTCCACAGACTTACGTGCTAGGCGCTGTGTCTGTGTGTGTCTGTCTGTTTGTGTCTCTGTCCATGTCTGCTAGTCCCAAGCTACTGCTCCCCCAGCTCTGCTGCTGCCCCTCACTCCTGGCCCACAGTACACTGCATCTTGCCAGGACATGCAGGGACCCCCCCGCCACACACACCCACCCAAAACCCCCCATACCATCCCAAACTCACACACACACGCAAACCCCACCCCCATAGCATACAAAGTACCTCCATAATTTTGAGTTTTTAGCTGCACAATTAAAATTGCAATGAATTGCAACTAATTTTTTTTAATCATGCAACTAATTGCGATCAACTTTTTTTAAGTTTAACTGATCTTATGGCTACCATAATTGATAAAACAATGTTTTAGGGTTACTAAAGATTTTGATGTTGTTTTAATACATAGTCTATTAAATATGTAGCAAAACCCCCATTTTTTCTTTTCTTTTTACATTTAAAATGCATTCCCTCCCCTTCCCCAAACATTTCTGACTTTTTCTCTCTCTCTATTCCCTATAGATAAGTATAAGTGAGCTAGGAGATAGGATAAGCTTCAGCATTTTATTTTGGTAGCAAGTTGTATTTGTTTTGTTTTTTCTCCTTCTTTATATTGTATAATTATTATGTTTATATTGATTTTTACTGTTCTATATTACTGTTTTACTAGTACTATATGATTTAGACCTACATATGTAAGTTAGCATAAGTCATGTCAAGTTTCCATTTTGTTTGTCAAGTCTCCATCCTGTCCCCAGGCCCGGTTGTGTAACCCTTGACTCACACCTAACACCTCCTATGTAACTTGGTTCCTGAATGAATGGGGATGAATGCGGGTGCTGGAGAGACAATGGCAGTAGGTCTAAACATAAATGCCTCTGAATGACCGAACCATCAACACCAATACCTGGACCAATGACCCAGCCCTTGGAACCACCCTCAGCATTCAAGAAACAATAGATGAGGCAGCCACCATTGTGCCAGGCTGCACATGCTCAGTAAGAACACCTGGAACCCTCTGGAACAGGACTGACCTTGCCTGGACAGGCCCTCCCCATAGGAGATCAGAGGTAGTCTGCCCCATAAAAAGGGGTAGTGAAGACTGACTCTTTGGGGATGCCCTCTCCATGTGGACCAGCACCATGCCACACCACCTATTCACCCAGAGGCCCTGCTGGCGACCCCCCACTGGACAACACCTACTGGACAGGGACCCCTTTCCAGCCTGGAAAAATAGCTATCACTCCCTATCCCCTCTTCAACCAAGGACTTGGACTCTGCTTCTCTTCCCTACCTGGGCTCCAGCCATTCCACTGAGTCTCTTTCTCCTGCTGCTATTGTGAGTGTGTGCACGCATGCGTGCGTGAGAACCAATAACTTCATGGGGCTGTGTGGTGTGTTGTCTGTTTAATAAACCTATTCTTTTGAAACCCCGAGTTGGGTTTTTGTCCATTTCCTGACTTTCTTCCTTGCCACCAGTTATCTGCCCCCCCCCCAGTCTCTAAGCTGTCAGCCTGTTTCCAGTCCCAAGCTTCCAGGTTTCTGCCCCTCTCTCTCTTTCCTGGCTGTCTCCTCCTTGCCACCACTTATCTGCACCCTCCCCTCTCCCCAGTATCTCAGCTGTCTGCCTCAGTTTCCAGCCCCAATCTACCTTAAGTCACCCCAAGCCTCAGTTCCTCAGCCAGCTCCTCTCTAGTTCACCGGTTCTAATCTCAGTTCTGGCAGCTTTCACTCCCTACACTTTAACTCTCTCTCTCTCACCTTAACCTTCCACCAAGTATCCCAGGTACCCCAAGCACACACATCCATACTGTGCCATCCAAGTTAGGAACTTACCTATGTGTAGGTGGGCTGTATGTGTGTGTGTGTGTGTGTGTGTGTGTGTGTGTGTGTGTGTATATATATGATATATGAATTAGTGATCTGTGTATGTGTACTGAGTATGCAGGTATGGACAATTGATTTTTGTCTAACTTTTGGGGTGTATAGTGTATGTGCTGGAATGCTTGAATTGGCGATAGGTATGCATGTGCCTAGGTTAGTGTGGATGTGTATGTGCCCAAGTTGGGGGGGGGGGGGGGGCGGG